GCTATGGTATGCATCAGAGAAGATACTATTTCTCAGAGGCTCTAAAAAGTCCAAAAAAGGCAGTCATTAAGTTCCACTGTGGTTTTTTGAATATCWATCACTTTCATTGTTTGCAACAGTACTACTACTAGTACCACATTGTCTGAAATAGTTTTTCATAGTATGCACTGCTGTTGGTACCAGTAAATTATTCAAACTACAACACTCCTGMCTACCACTAGTCCTTATTAGTTCTAAAATCAGATTTTGCCTTATTCCTTGTTGTTATCATGAATCATTCCTGTGTTCTGTACTGCTTGTGCCGTAAGCATGATATCATATTGCATATATGACTCATACCTTATCATAAATATGATCCATATACTCTATGTGACRCTATCCACTCCCTATGGATCATTGACTTGACTCATTGATTCACACACATTACTTGATTCTCACCTTGATCAACTTCATAGTTTGTTTATTCTCAATAGGAGCATCAACTATCTTTTCTTCTAGTACTAGCACTCAATTTACATCACTATTWGATTGTCACACCCACAGGTTACAACACCATCCCACCAAAATTCACCACATCATGTTAACCTTAACTTTTTTGTAACTTGTGTTGCCAAATGTTACAGTATTATCGTATTTGGCCAGCGAATGTACGATTTAATTGTACTTCTTGGGCCATCTAATTACTGTGTAATGACTACTTTCACTAAAAACTAAATACATACAAAATGCAGTACTCAAATTTTTGAATCCCACATTGGTGCAACYAAATAGTTTCACACACCTGCAAATTAGTTTTGCATGCTGTAGGCCTAGTACAAGTCAAATTTTAATCCCACGAGTCATTACATGGTAATTAGATGGCCCAAAATTCACGCACAGAACAAAAAAACATAGGGCATTAAGTGACAGTCAACTTACTTGAACAGCTATAACTTTGTCCCCAACCAACGCTTAACAATGATAAGCWCATGAATCAAATCCCAGTAAAAAGACCTTTCTAGTGATGTGGGGGGTTATAGGGGGTTAACAAGTATTCAAAGGTATACAACACTGAATATCTAAATTAAAAAATGTACAATTATTTCGGCTGGAAAAATGTAGCCATGCCTATACGATAATCAGGTTTGATAGTCCTAGTATGAATGTGGACAAGTCTGCTGTAAAGGTTGAAGTAGTGGATGTTATTGTTACAAAGGAAGATCTTGAAGAATGGGAGGAACTCCCCTGCTGGTGGTGACAAAATCAAAGTTCTCCAAATTATTGCCCAGGGTTRAGATTGGCAAGAAGATACTGACTCAATGCATCAAGGTTGTTGGTTGACAGGCTTTCCTTGGTGACAACCCAAATGGTATGCCTATAAATGAGAATGAGCAGCAGCCTGCAGGTTGGAGAGCTGTGGATTTTGTAGCTGCAGCAACTAGTAGAGAAAAAGGAGGGCATCCAGTAGTAGCTAGTGGGACAGTACCAGCAACAGTYATTTGCTCCTTGACTACCTTTACCTCCACACTTACTGACCAGTAGTACTACTAAGAACCAGCGCCCTGTTGCTGGCACCACAAGTATTATTGCTGCTAGTACTMCTACTTCTATTGCAAGTAATGACAATATGGATGAACAAGGATAAAGTAGAAAAAATATCACTTGTCTCACATTATTACTCCTCCATCACTCTACCAGGTAAATCAATTACCCCTTGACTAGTACTAGTGTCTTCTCCTGCTTCCCCTTGTGCTACTGGTGGTGGTGTACAAACATCTCCTGCTCATCCTAATTTTGCAGTAGCATCACCATCAGTGGGAACATTCAGATCTACTAGTACTATGGACAACTTGTTTGAATCCATCAAAGGGATTGTTAATCCAGTCTAAACAACAATACAGATAGAACTATCAAAATTTGAATACAGAGGGGATAAATTGTGAATAGTAATGTACCATACTAGKACCTCCTTAATTTGGTAAGTAATGAGCATATTCTTGATACTATTAAATCCTTTCTACATCTAGAATGGCACAAGCCATACAAGAACTGGAATCAGTGGTGMTATTAGCATGAATAGAAACAGGTCCAGTAGATTTTCCTGCTACTAGCAGCACAGTACACTTGTTTGTTGAGGGAAAGGAGGAAGCTCAGTGTACTACTACTACTAAGTCTTAATCTTTTATCACAATCTTGGCCCTGGTCCTGACACCACCAAAATAGCTCTAGTCCCAGGAGTAGGAGGAGTAGCATGAATCATATCTGTRGGAATACTAGGCATAGCACTGTCTACTCATCTCCCTTGACAAAGAATTGATGCAGTCTTGTTGTGTTTCCACCAGCAACTTGTCATGTGCATTGAACATCATAATCTATATTGTACATTCCATCTCTGTGTTCCAATTCCAACTGAGTAATAATAGCAATAGCTGCAAAGCACATTCCATATTTTCCAATGATCATAACTTACCTGTCTCTTTCTTGCATACTACTATGATGAAAGTATGTCCAAGGAATCTATTCTGRCATACTGGTATTTCTTCTCAGAGATCAAACATCTTTCTGACAAAGTACTACTAGAMTCCTCTGACCACTTCAAAAAACATCCTTGTGGGGCCATTCAACAATTGCAAAGTGGACATCCTCTTCAGATGTTACATAGAACGTGAGGAATAATAAGGCCCATAGTAGATGCTTCAGTCCAAGTCCAGCAAGACCAAGAATGGAAGGTTCAATTTGATTCCATAGACATGCAATCACAACAGCTGGTGCAATGAACATGCCAGCAATACACTTCTCTTTCTTTGTATCCCAGGAGAGTTTATCAGGCCCTGAAATGAAATTTTTTATGGTCCCTTCTACAATATTGTCTCTGTCCATGATGACATTTTCTGTGCTACTCCTTGTCTTGCTATGATCGAGGAACTCCTTTTTGCTGCTGCTGCTGCTGCTGCTGCTACTACTACTACTACTGCTGCTGCTGCTGCTGCTACTACTACTACTACTACTACTACTAGTAGTAGTATCAGTAAATGTTAGTACAAGCAATAGTATTATATTTTGTAACTCAATAGGTAGTAATGCAGCTTTGACTCAGTACCAGTACTGTTTTTGAGGAGAAAGAGCTTCTTCTTGATCACTGCTGTCCATGCTAATAGTATGTAGTACTTCTTTCCACTTCTATTGAATACTAGCTACTAGCTACTACTAGCTACTAGTACTAGTACTAGTACTAGTAGTACCATGTAGGATATCTTTGTCTAGCAATAGTCAAAAGAAAGGGGATTAGACAGACAGCAAAAGGCTTTAGTAGTAATAAATTTAATTAACTGATTCAATGCACTTACTAATTGACAAAATTAATTAATATTGTATTCACTGTTAATTTAAGTACTGTCTGGAGTACCCCCCAACAAAACAGATGACAGTGTTAACCCTGAATGGCAAACCCAACGAGTAGGAGAATTACTGTTCTTGTCACCTCTTCTTTACAGTAAAATCATGAAATTAAATATGCAAAAAATATTAGTACAAASCCATGATTGGTCCCTCTTCTAGATATGAGTGGGTGCTCAAGAAGGAAGAGAATTACTACTAGTACTACTACTAGTAGTAGTAATATTGCAAAGCAAAACCTCAAATGGTTTTGTTGATTGACAACAGAACAATCAACTCTTTGTCCTCCCTACTATTAGTACTAGTGTGCTGCCCCATTGGGCACAATAACAATTGTACTAACAATCAATCACATCACATGCAAAAATAGTTAGCATACACCAACAAATTTTCTCCTCACATGTCAAAAACTATTTGTCTAGTGTTGCTCATCATATCATTACTACTAGTAGCTACTAGTAGTACTACTACTGCTACTATATTAAGTGGTGCAAACAGCTCCTACTAACTACTGGCAACTAGTACTACTAGTAGTAACAGAAATAATAAGAAACAAACAAATGGGATGTCATTGTTCTCACTTATTGTGCTATTTGCACTCCATGCACCAAAAAGCAACCAAGAAAATACCTGGGCCCTGGTGAAGTACCACAACAGCACAACAAGAAATAGCAACATGAGAAGTACTTCTGAGTCAAGTTATGTCAAGTAATGCAGTGCTGTTTCTACTGGTAGAATATCACATCATCATTAATTTTGGATGTACTGGTAGTAGTAGTAGTAGTAGTAGTAGTAGTAGTAGTAGTAGTAGTAGTAGTAGTAGTAGTAGTACCAACACTCCAGTGTGAACTTAATCATGGAACAACAACAAGTTCTTGAAAAGAAAATAATACTAAAATAGTTTTAAAAATGGCATTGCTGGTGGAAAGGTGAGTCTGAGGGGGTGAAAACAACACTAAAAATTCAGTAATTAGTTCTTTTCAACTCAGAATACTAGTACTACAAAATGAATGGCTTCTTTTTTCGCACTACTACAAAACTGGCTGTTTACTTGTTGTTGCTTCTTCCAAGAAAAATGCATACTAGTAGTACTAGATTGCCACCAATAGTACTACTAGTTGCTGTTTCTTTGAAAATTGACAGTGATGATGATTGCTGGAAGAAATATAAACAAGTGGTGGCATGAGATAATTTGCTGATATGCACTTCAKCTTCCACTTGCAGCGCACCACAAAAGACCTAATCACTAATCGCATAGTAACGCAAACTACTAGTAGTACTACTAGTAGCACTACTACTATGACTTGTATCGTGATGACTCACACCTGCTCGCGCATTGAAGACACCCGACCAAGCTTCATGGTTTCCTATCACAAAATAGTTTTACGGTGCTTTGTACTGACGGGCTGACGGCAGTACATTGCTCTGTACGTGTGCTACCGTATGTTTTCTTATCTTTTCATTGAAATAAAATACGTACCGGTACTATCTGTGCAAGCAGATACATTACTGTACTGTATCAACGTGAAACTAGTACCGGCTTTTTGTATGGTGGAATAATGGTAGGAAGAACGCATTCGTCATCATAATTTTTTTATCTGTCAATCTGGCCTTCAAGTTCAAAAGACGTGGGAAATCTGAAAATCTCTTTCTCAGAAAAAATAATAACAGATCAAGGTGCGCAACGACGCGTTGATTAGAAAGTAGTCATCGGATGACACTCAGAAGCCATCGATCAACTGCGACTAGATTACAGGACCCGCCAGGCTCACMGCGTCAATTATTCGGAGCTTGCAAGTTCTGAAAGCTTATCGAGAACTACGTAGACATAAATTATAGTCTGCTGATAACCATGGCATCCAATACTAGTCAAATAATACGACGAAGACGCAACAATGTTCAGAATGGAATGATTTCTACGAAGACATTTCTATATTTGTTTTTCACGTCGGTCCTCGCAACCTTCCCTGTAGGGAATGTTCGTGCTTTTGCTCCTACGACGAAATTGATTCTCACAAGCGGCAAGAAGATTCATGTCGGAACCACAATTCACGTCGGACAGCACAGTTACCACAGTTTGCGACAATCATCTCCCCGAACAAACTCTCTGGTCCTAGCATCCACAAAAGATGCCGATATCGACGGAGCCACGGTTAACGGAGGTTCCGACTTATTCGTCACGACCTTGAAACCTGCACGAAGTATTTCCAAGTTGACTGCAACCCTGAGGAAAATTGGGTTGATGGCCTTCATTGCTTCGATGTGTTTGGCCCTGCCAGTTGCCCTCTTTCCGCCTTATTTGCTGCACCGTCTCAACTTGATCTCGAAAGTCGAGCAACAGAACAGGGCACTGAGGGCCGGTCAGTTTTGTGCACGATGGTTGCTTCGGTTGATACCCTTTGCCAATGTTTCGTGTGTGAGCTCTCCCGACCAAGAAACGGACCCACAGCCTTGCATATGGGTGTGCAACCACACGTCCGCCTTGGATATTTTTGTTCTTCTTGCAAAGGATAAAGAGCTACGAGGAAAAAGGAAACGACCGATCAAGATCGTTTACGTAAGTACGGAACAGTTGAAACGAATTGGAATAAGAAACTATGAATGGAATTGGTGTCAATCCTAGACTTATTCTATGAGAAATCGACAAAAAATTCAAACTGTCTGATAGTAGTTAAAGCAAAAAACGAATTTTTGCTYKAAGGGCATTGCTATTGTTTCATCTTTTCCTCGTCACCTCGCTCATATTTCCCTGCTCTCAATAATATTTCTTGCATTGTTTCATCCCTTGGTTACCCCACCCAAATGTCCGACTCGAATGCAATTTTAACCAATCAATACCTCAGTGGAAGGGACTGGAAGACAATCCGATCACGAAATTATTGTTTACTCAGTGTGGATTTATTCCCGTGGAAATGGAGGGAAATGCGGCTGGCGAAAAGAACAACTACAACATGAAATCCTTCAAAAATTTGTTRAAAATGAGCAAACAAGCGTTCGAGGAAGGCTTTGACATTGGCATCCTMCCCGAGGGCCAATTGAACCCCCATCCCGAGGAAAAACTTCTGCCGTGCTTCCCTGGAGCTTTTACGCTGGCGAAGATGTCCCGACGGCCAATCCGCTTTATGGCATTGCACGGGACCCACCGTTTTTGGCACGCCCGAGAAGATATTGGAATGACCGTAACCGGCAAAGACATTTCTCTGCGTGTCTACCCCGGCGAGGGTCGCAAATATTCATCTCCCGAAGAATTTGTGTCYACCTTTGAGWCGGTCGTGGGAAAATTTGCTACGACAGGAAAGGACTTAGACGAAGATRAATTAAATGCATGGTTGGACGGGAGCAAATGGGAAGACGAAACGAAATCAGAAGAATAAGAAGAGTAGGGAATTAATATTAAGCGCTAAACTAGTTCTAMGTTACTGTGTCGAATCTAGAAAACAATTGATGTAGGTCGGATGGAGTGCRAAGACTGCGGACATGATTGCACCGTTCTATAAAAAAGAAAACCCCAGATGTTCGTTTTTGTTTCCGATCAGRTGTCTGATGCAGTTGGGATCACTCTCCAATGGATGGTAAAATGGCACTTTCTCTCGTCATCGCTAAAYTAGCTTATTCGRTCCCCGACAGAATAGAGAGAAAAGTGGTAGACTGAAGTTGCTAAAAATGACCAGTATCGAAACGGCGTGTGAGAAGCTCGTAGTGAAGCACGCAACAAATACAACTCAAATGTTTGCCGAGAAGCTTGTAATGAGTTCTTAAAATATTCATTAAATTTCAGATGAGAAGCTCCACGCAATAGACAGCAAAAAAATGTATTTACAATAGCGAAGAGTATTTAATTTGTTGGTGAGAAGCTCCAATGATATACTAMATACCATCGACGAGAAGCTTCTTAGCGATTATCACTCTTCGTCGCAAAATAACTGAAAAGCACTTCTTAGGCTYCGGAAATCGTACATTTCTTCCCCTCAMTTGTAGTTCTCACAATTCCAAACTGTCTTCCAATAGAAAGCAATAAATACACAAAAAAAWWACATTTATCATGAMGTTTTCCCTCGCCGCCCTTTCTGTAGCTCTTCTACAAGCACCAATGGCAGTGGTCCAGGGGTCCTTTTTTCGTAGTGCCTTAGTCAATGATATTGGCAGCAATGGTAAAGTGCTCGCAAGCGAAGTTATTCTGAAGGGAGCAACTGGCGAACCCACAGCCGAAGACATGGAGTTCATCGGAAAGGCTCTCGTTGCTTCGTACAACAATGTCCACTGGGAGGTCGGTCACTACATGACCGGAAGCCATGCTGTTGATTTCAAGGGACCTGATAGCTTCTTGTGTCGCCACTGCCCCGACGATGACTCCATGRGAGGTGCTGGTGCTGAAACCAGTGTCTTCGAGGTCAAGACTCCAATTGGTTTCTTGTGCCGCCACTGCCCAGATGACGATGCCATGGGCACGGATTCTCTCTTGATGGCGGCYATCTCTGAGGACTGCGCTGGACTCTGCGAGAAGGAAGCTTCCGCTGAACTCGAGGTGAGCTTGTGTAGCAAGATTCGATCCGCCCAAGATTCCAAATATCTCAGCTCCGTCAAGGCTTGCGTCATCCGTTTTGACGCTGAAGACAAGAAATCCAGCAACAACAAGCGTATTTCTTCTGCCACAAACAAAGTTGCAACTGTTGACTCTACTATTATCTTGAAAGGAATTGGTGCTGGTGATGTCACCAAGGAGGAACAAGCAATCCTTGCCAAGGCGTTTGTCTCTGCTTACAATGATGTTCACTGGGGCACCAACCACTATTTGACTGATGCAGAGATCCCATTCACTGCTGCTACCGAAAGCCCCGATGGATTTTTGTGCCGCCACTGCCCTGACGATGACTCCATGGGAGGAGCTCAGCAGACAAACACCTTGGTCTTGGACATTATCAGCCCTGTTGAGGCATTCTTGTGCCGCCACTGCCCAGATGATGATGCCATGGGAAGCCAGTTCGACATCCAATCCCTCAACTCAAATGCCTTTGACAAAAAGGCCATTGAAGTCGCCTTCTGCAAGAAGATCCAGAATTCTGTCAGCAAAAAGTTTGCTACTACCAAGTCGTGCTCCATTGCGGTCGAGTCAGTGATCGCCACAGATGTCGCTGCTTCCAAGGCTGCGTGGTAAATGCATTCGTGCATTCAATCTTTGAGGCTCCTGTGCCTACTTTCTACCTAGGAACTCACAGGTGATAACACGAATCATAATAGAATCTAACCAAAATGGGGGTATTCCAGAATCAAGTTTATATACTACACAATACAAAAAATCAAAGAACTTCACACAATTTTTAACAACTTGCGAGGTATGATTTGTCTACTTTTATCGACTCGACTTTTCCTATCTCGACGTTAACGATGGACGTGATAGGGSCAAAATCCGTGGTGAACATATAATGAATTTCCTCTAACCACTAAACACCACATTTTYCCGGGCTCTACGGTACGTGCTCCTAGTTCAACTAAGGTTCGAGGGTCGACGACCAGAACCTGACACCTCTGCAAGCATTGCAGATACAGAGCAACTCACAGCGGAAGCTGTTTATCTACTCTTGGAATGAGATATCTTTGTTTGTTTTGCTCTCGATCTACTCAGCGTAATGTCCTTCAGACATTTGTAGTTGCAAAATGGAAGGACATGAAACTCCTCGGCTCATTCCTTTAAAACATGCCAGTAGATTCGAAACGAATTTTGAATTTTCGTATTCTCAAGTGATTTCAATGACCTTCCCAAATTTGAAAGTTGTGAGGAGGTACGTACGCGACGCGCGACTAAATCGTTTCGTACTACGTCTAACGTACTTCTGCCAAACTGTATGTATGTACGAATACGTACTGAGTACGTACCCGAAAATAATAAGCCTACCGTACGCGTGTTGTGAAAATTTTGAAAATTTCGTTTTACTGTTGACGATGCCCTATCACATCACACACATAGAGGGGATGGAGGGCTTCGAGTACTCGTCGATGCCGTCGTCGTGGGATAAAAATAATGACTATTAGCTTGCTTCGGCCCCTGCTATTTTCCATCGCTTGGTTGCTTCCCGCCGTGGATTGCATCGCTTGGACAACGAAGGCGACGACGGCCAACAAGGTCGCTAGTGTGAGCAGTACGAATGCATCTAGGAAAGGGAGTAGCGAGGTCTGGGGCGTTTTATCTGGAAGAGGTGGATCCAATGATGGAAATGTGGAGAAAAAACGTCAGCGTTTTCTGGTCTTGATGGATGTGTTCTGTGATTTTCACGGCCGATATTTGGCCGAAATGGCTGGCGAAGTGTACGGAGTCGAGTGCGTGCATGTGCTGAGCGATTACATGGCAGATTATATAACCATGCAAAAGCAACAGGATGGCAGCGAGGAAAATTTGTCGTTAATGCCACGAATGCCTTCTTCGCCCGAAGAGGCAATTGAGTGGCGTCGTGATCTGTTGGAGAGATTTCTAATGAGTGAGCATGCCAAGATCAATGACTACGAAGATATCGAATTAAGAGGACTGATTTGTGAATCTGACCCTGGATTAGCCGATGCAGAACGATTGTCTGCTCTGTTGAACGTCAAAAACCACAATGGACTCAACGAAGCCCGGCGGAACAAGTTTTTGACCATTTCAACATTGGCCTCAAAAAAAATTCCGACCGTGCGACAAAAGCTCTGCAGTACAATAGACGAAGCGGTGGAATTTGCAACGAATGAGTTCTCTTCACTGTCAGCCACTACCGTAGTGGTGAAACCCGTGCGGGGTTGCGCTTCGGACGACGTGTTTCTATGCAATGATCTAGAATCCGTTCGGTCAGCATACGAAACGGTGAAGGGATCCACGATCTTAGGATCACCGACTGAAAAACACGAGTCGGTTTTGGTTCAAGAATATGCCGTCGGGCAAGAATATGCAATTGATACCGTTACGAAGAATGGGAAACTCAAGATTGCTGCTGTTTGGAAATATGACAAACGRCCTCAGCCACCAACAATAGAACGAACACATGTGCTAGGGGATCTAGATATAACGAACGAGGAAACTAACGAGGGCGATGAGATCGGTGAAAAACGCCGTCAAGTATATTATGCTACGATGATATACGATGATGACGATGAAAGCAGCACCGAAACTAGTGATCCTCTCCTTYCTATAATCTACAAATACCTCGATGAGTGCTTGAACGCATTGGATATTCGATGGGGGATAACACACAGCGAATTGATCATCACGCCTGACGGCCCTAGATTGATAGAAGTCAATTGTAGACAACACAATATGAATTTTGTTCCTTTGACTGACAACGCAATTGGATACAATCTTTATGACATGCTTTTAGCCGCCTATTTTGGAGACGACGATGCAAATGAAGCCAACGGTGAGGACATCCTCAAGGACGCCCAAATCGATTGGGATCTTCTACCCGACTATCCCTCGAGACGTATGAATGGTGCCATGATCCACTTGGTCAACGATAAGAGGGGGCTCTTGAAGCGATTGAACGAAGAAGCATTGTACGAAATCCAATCAATGCAAAGCGTCCTGGATCTAGAGGTCTTTCCGGAATTTTTGCAACCGGGACTGTCGGTTATTGAACCAACTGTTGACATCAAAACAGATGCTGGTTGGATTCAAATGATTCATCCCGACCGTGAAATATTCGAACGAGACTATCAACGTATTATGGAATTGATGCCGACCCTATTCGAAGTGTGATYGAGTGGTCGGATAGTATTTAATTTCGAAATAAATTACTACATCATGCTTATCGAGAATTATCCTGGAACCGCAATAATTACCTACCGTACTGCTTTTTCACAACTGAGATAAAGTACTACTACTTTTTTTTTCTGGTTTGATTCAATAATTCGTATTGCAATTTTGGACTATTCGCTACATCCCTGCAATGCAAATCCATTGATCTCAATGTTGCTTGCGTTTTGTTTTATTTTTGAAAGAAAAATAGCCGAAAATCCAAKTTTCCCTTTTCCATTAAGTTATTTTTTCGCCTTTGGGGTACAACGGTTCAGAAAAAGTAGCAATTGAGAGCTAGACTAAGYAACTTTTTTGACGAAAGCTGACAATCGCACCATGAGATCGTCGACGCCATCTTCCTCCTTTGCACTCATTCTCATCAATCTAGAATGACTCATAGCATCCTTCAATTGCRCTTCTAACTCCTCGAGAGATAGGCTTGGTTTCTTATCACTCTCGTAGGCATCGATTTTGTTGATGACGACAACCTGGGGCATGCGAGCCAACTGTCCAGTTCCATACTTGATCAATTCTCCGTTGAGCATTTTGAACTCTCCTACGGGATCCTCTGACGTTGCATCGACCAGATGCAAAATCACGTGACACCGTTCGACATGTCTCAAAAACGCGTGTCCGAGTCCTACTCCACGGGATGCACCCTCGATCAAACCCGGAACATCGCACAGCACCAAACCATTTCCACCCGTGCCACCGCCTCCTTTTGTTCCGCGACCATCTGGATCAAATAATGCTTGTGGAACCCATACTCCCAGGTTAGGAATAACTGTTTTTGCGGTGCAATAGAACGGCAACGTACAAATTTGTGTTAGGGACGCGCAGACCATTCAAACCAACGCCGAATTCAACGGTGAATCAAGAAGAGTTGTTTGCAAAACAAAACGACGAGTTTTCTTGCTCTTKAACTCACCCGTCGTGAAGGGATAATCTGCAATGCGTGGTTTCGCTCTCGTTACCTTCGAGAGAAACGTCGATTTACCGGCATTAGGGACACCGACTAGGGCAACATCCGCGACCAACTTTAGTGTCAATCTTAATTTCCGTTTCTCTCCACCTTGTGGTGACAATCGTGGTCGCTGTACACCTCTACCCTTCTGATTTATACCGGATCCTTCGCCGCCTTCCCCACCCCTTGCTACAACGAGTGTCGTTGTGGGCTTCGCGTACGATGAAATGGCACTGCTACGCATCCGCCGTGTCATAACCACATTGTTGTCCAGGTTGTCGATATTATTGACCTCACCACCCTGCTCTGGAAGAAGCAGGGTTCCGAGTTCGACCAGATTTTCCTTGTTGTCGTCTCCGTACTCATCGTCGTCTTCGTTCTCTATAATTTCGTGGACGACGGTCCCTGGTGGAACACGTATGGTGACGTCTTTTCCGTACCTTCCGCTTTTCATTTGCCGCATGCCGTCGCATCCAATTTCTGCGCGAAACGATTTATAACGTGGCCGACCCTGTTGTGCCGAYACCGCTGCTCCACTCCCACCAAACGAATTAACTTTGTAAGCAATGGGCGACAACCCGGCCAGCGTGTTGAGCGAATCGTCTACCATCAAGATAACATTCCCCCCATTCCCCCCGTTCCCTCCATCTGGTGGACCATTTTGACCACCAACTCCTTTTCTATACGTAGAGGCACCCTGTCCACCACTCCCAGCCTTGACCAAAATTGTAACCTCGTCGTAGAAGGAATATTCAACGCTGCTTTCTGCATTGGCGGCATCGGYATTTTGGGTTTCATCACCGGCGCTGTCACCGGACGCAATAGTTTGCACAACCGTCGATCTCGAAAACTGTGGTGATTCTCTTATCCGTTCCCCTGAGAATTGCACTTGCCGTATTCTTTTTGACTGCTGACAACTACTTCGGGCGGATGGCGCGACGAAGGCGTCGCAGTACAAAACGGACGGCGAACGCTGAAGCGATGCCAATGCAACGAGGACAACGATCGCGAACACAAACTCTGGCTGCCCAAGGAATCTTCGCTTTCTTTGATCAAATGACATYGTATTGGTACAAAGTAGATCGGTGACAAGTGTCACTAGATCAAYCGGCTGTTTATCAATACCAAACAATACTATCGAAACARTTACATTCAATGGAATAAATCTCATACTTGTACCTYGTACTGTACCGCWACGTACGGTACTCCACAGTACCGTGCTGTACGACTACCACGATACGAACCAAGCTTCAATTTCCTTTTCGTGAGAGTGGAATTACGAATTACAATATCCCAGTCCTGAYCAGTGATGCCGATGGATTTGGTCGTCTGTACGTCCATACGATAGACAAAACAATTCAATGGGGCAACGTAAATTACTACTTCCTCCGTTCCCAAATAAATGTCCCGTTGGCACCTTTACTACTTAACGAGCTCCATGGGCCACAAAGCTCGACAAAACTTAAACTGCAGAATGTACCGAAATTTCTAAATTTCACATGAATGCGTGTTTATTTTTACAATTAAGTGCAAGAAGCACAACCTCCGAAATTCTCTTCCGTCGTTCACGTGCTTCAAAGTGAGATTTTTCACCATCTTATCGTGATTTAGCCGCACACTTTGTTTGTCAACTGATATTCCTCAAAATACCCAACATAGAGATCGTTTGTGGCCTTGTGAATAGCATAGTGACCAAGCACATGCATTGCGTGACAACTCTCAATTTGTTGAATAACAAAGTGATTTTCCAACAAAAATAGAATGCCCAAGGGTACGGCGTTCATCGCGATGGAAGAGCTGACATCGCATCGTAGAAGGGGGAAAGCTAAAGTGATAACTCCGCAACCAGAAAGGATGTAGGATTTGCCCACAAGCAAGGCGGCTACAGTATACACGATYACACTGAAAGAKATTAGGGACGCCAACTCAGGTACTTCACAAAGCTTATGTTCCTTTTCATCCAATACGTTCTGCTTCTTCTTCTGCCGCAACAACATGTTTGCCTCCTTCCTTTGTAGTACAGCTTGGAACAATTCTGAAAACAAAAGAGGGAAGTTCACCATCGCAACATAAACGAAGCAAGGATGAGGATATACATGATAGAGAACGCCAGCGATGTTGTTGATCATTTCATGCGCCGTGAATCTTRTTTTGCTAGATCGTAGAGTGCCGTAAGAGATACCGAGGTCGTAAATACGTTGGATCGTCCAGGGACTTAAAGACGAAGCAACCAGAAGGGTCCACCAAAAATTACTCGTCATGTCAGCCAATTCATCTCTGCGTTCATTGCCTATATTTGTCAACTGGATCGCAACAACAGTCACAGCGACAAGGGCGAAACCAGCAATGTAAGAGCACTTCATCCTTCGTATTAGAAAATACTGTACGAAGTACTTGTATTATTTGATATCTGTGGAATACTGAAGAAATTCACAATGACCCAGAAATTATGAACAATTAGGCTTGAAGAAGAAATCTGTATCAGAAACGGCGTTCTTTTTCAAGCTAGAGGTTTTGATTTGTCTGACCTCCCTTATTTATCCAGGACGTACGGTACTTGGTACCGGTATGGTCAGTTTATGTTTTTTATTTTTTACTGGCATATTACGAGTACGGTACTTACAGCACTTCTCAACAATCTAGCGGAAGCAATTAACCTTTTATTTCTACAGTACAGTATGGTACCCGTACAGTAAAGTGCCGTAGTTTATTTACTTGCCAAATTTTCTCATCGCGATGTACCGTAAGTGGTACTTCTAGTAACCGTTGAGCAGCTCAACATTTCCATGTACTCAGCGCGCATGGTATTTTTTAGGTACACGATTTGTTGAGCAGATCGCAGCACGGTACAAACACTAGTTATTTTTTGCCTAAGTACATGCACCTCAACAGGTTACAAAGCGCGCAGACTGAATTATGTAACCAGAATTTTGTAACCAAACCCTTCCTTAAGGAGAGCCCATATTTTTACACGATACTACTAATAGTAGTGCGGTTACCAAAAAAAAGGGTCTGGTTACAAAAACAGGCGCACTGGTTCCCTTGTGCGCGCTTGTAACCAGGGTGTGCACCTCAACAGGTATGTGATATAACTGTGGCGTCGCACGGTCCGCGCGTGTACCGAAATTGTAACCAGAAATTTGTACCTTGTTGAGCTCCGTGTAATTAGCAGGGAAAAAGTTTTGTACTGTGCGCTCKMGAGCTTWAGCTCKMGAGCGCACAGTACAAAACTTTTTCCCTGCTAATTACACGGAGCTCAACAAGGTACAAATTTCTGGTTACAATTTCGGTACACCAGTAACATCACTGAGGCCGAGAGCTTGCTCGAGACCGAAGTGAGGTTACTGCAAGTACTTTCTTCAGCAACACGACCACCAACAAGCTCGAGAGCTTTAGCTCGAGAGCTTGTTGTTGGTGTTGCTGAAGAAAGTACTTGCAGCGCTGGGACCGATGCGATGCCACAGTTATTTACGTAATCGATTGAGTAGCATCGGAATTACATGTATCCGTCGTGAGCTCGAGGTTACTGCACTGCTTCTTTTACGGACGAGAACGCTCACTGATACTACGGAGAATGCTGATACGATAGGAGGAGCAAGCAAACCGCTGATACGGTACGGAGGAGCAAACCGCTGATACGATACGGATGCTGCTGTTTTGCTTGTTTCCCCCTGCAAATCAATATTTCTACGGTATTTTCTACGTGAGTTTGTACTAGAATAGCAAAAAAGATCAGTTTTCATCGAAAACTGGTCACAATTTTGGTCAGTGCAGTATTAGTAGTAGTATTCAGTACTGAAAATTGTGAGCAACCAAGACAGCTTGTTTTTAGTGTTGTACCTGTTGAGGTGCAAAATGGGCGCTGTGCGCTTTTTTTTGTAACCAGACCCGCTTTTTTTTGTAACCACACTACTAGTAATATCGTGGAGAAAAGAAGGGCCTCTCTATAGGGAAGGGTTTGGTTACAAATACRGTTACAAAATTCAGTCCGCGCGCTGTGTAACCAGCTTTTTGTGTGTGTACTTAAGCAAAAAATAACTAGTCTTTGTTAGTGTTAGTTTTTTGTAACGCGCAGTAACTGAGAGTGCGCGGGTACATGTAATTTCGGTGCTACTCAACGGTTACGTAAATAACTTTGGAAGAGCTCTGCTTTCAGCGCTACAAGTACTATCTTCAACACCAACAAGCTCTCGAGCTTGTTGGCGTTGAAGATAATACTTGTAGTAACCTCACTTTGATCTCGAGCTAAAGCTCTCGATCTCAGTGATGTTACTGGTGTACCCAAATCGTACCAGAAAATGTAGTACTCTGTTGAGGTCCGTGTTATTTGTGTGGGAAGAGTTTTGTACTGTGCGCTCTCTAGCTCGAGAGCGCACAGTACAAAACTCTTCCCACACAAATAACACGGACCTCAACAGAGTACATTTTCTGGTACGATTTGGGTACACGCGCTGCGCGAGCTCCNGAGTCGCTGATACGGTGTCCGCTGATACGAGTCGCTGATACGGTGTCCCCTGATACGAGTCGCTGATACGGTGTCCGCTGATACGGTTTCCGCTGATACGAGTCGCTGATACGGAGGATGCTGATTTGGTGTCCGCTGATACGAGCCGGTGATACAAGCTGGTGATATGAGCCGGTGATACGGAGGATGCTGATACGAGTCGCTGATACGAGTCGCTGATACGAGTCGCTGATACGAGCCACTGATACGAGCCACTGATACGAGTCGCTGATACAGAGGAGCCGGTCTGGCTACGATTACGCCAGTATTGGTGCGGATCCATCATACTAGGGGGGACTTGCTGATACGGAGGATGCTGATACGGAGACTCGCTGATACGAGTCGCTGATACGGCGTCTGCTGGTACGGAGATGCTGATACGGCGTCCGCTCACTGATACGGAAGATCCTGATACGGGGTCCGCTGATACGGAGGATGCTGATGCGAGCAGCTGATACGGAGGATGCTGATACGAGTCGCTGATACGGTGTCCTTTGATACGAGTCGCTGATACGGTGTCCGCTGATACGGTGTCCCCTGATACAGTGTCCGCTGATACGAGCGAGTGATACGAGCCAGTGATACGAGCCAATGACACAAGCCAGTGATACGGAGGAGCTCGTGATACGGAGGATACTGATACGAGCCGTTGATATGGAGGATGCTGATACGGAGGCTCCCTCATACGAGCCGATGATACGGAGGAGTCGGTCTGGCTACGATTACGGTCTATGACAATGGTCTATGATTACGCCAGTATTGGTGCTGATCCATCATACCAGAGGGGACTTGCTGATACGGAGGATGCTGATCCGCTGATACGGCGTCCGCTGATACGGCGTCCGCTGATACGGCGTCCGCTGATACGGCGTCCGCTGATACGAGCCGCTGATAC